TCAGCAGGATGTGATTCTGGGAAGAGAGGCATTTCCTTGGCTTTGGATCAAACACACGTCCCAGCTTTAACAGACAATGTTCTACATGGATTTATATCAAATGCTGGCAGCTATTGAAAATCCCACAAAGCCCTGCTATGCCTCTGTAAATAGGTTTTGTTCTTTTAGAGGCTATTTGGCTATCTTTAAGATCCAAATTACTTATTGTGGCTAAAATAAAATGTTACCAGGCAAACTTTTAAAATGGGTTAGCTCCAAGTTGCTGGTAGGATATATAAAATTTAAATAAATTTTCATTTTCTTTCCTTTTTTTTTCCTCTCCCAGGTGGGAATAGCAACATGTCAAATTGCCAGAGCCTGTGGTTTAAAGGTGTTGGGTACAGCAGGAACTGAGGAAGGCATGGATGTGGTTTTGAGGAATGGTGCTCACCAAGCATTTAATCACAGAGAAGCTAATTACACTGATAAAATCAAGGTGAGCACGTGTCAGGGCTGGGTGATGCAGAATGTGTTTTTTACAAACAAAATGTGAACAATTGTTTGCAGAAGTTCCTTAAGGCAGATTCGTGTTGGAGCCTTTTTCATTTCCACTCAAGGAAAGAGTTTTCCAGGCTGGAGGAGCTGAGCTGTCTCCACAGGCCCTGGCATTTTGTCCTTTGGAAGCTCTTGCCTTCCAGCATGTTCTGATGTGGTGGTGGGTCATAATTCAGCAGGTCAGGATGTGCTGAATGCCAGCTGATCAGCTGTCAGCCTTAGTACCAAGGCTGCATGTAAAATTTAAGCAATAAACTGTAAAATATGTTATCTGTAGCATATGAAATAAAGAGTGATGCCCAAGCACTAATTGGAGTGATTAAAATAATGGATTATGTCCTGTTTAGGAATACATAGGGACAGAAGGAGTTAATATAATCATAGAGATGCTCTCTAACGTCAATCTTGCTACTGACTTGCAACTGCTGTCCTGTGCAGGAAGGGTGATGGTGAGTAGCTTTTGTTGCTGACTTGAGTCTGTGCATTTAGCAAGGCAATTAACAGGTGTAACCTGATCCATCTTTCAACTTGTTTGTAACAGGTTGTGGGCTCTAGAGGCCCCATCGAGATAAATCCCAGAGACACCATGAGTAAAGAATCAAGCATAACTGGAGTTAGTCTGTTTCTTGCAACTGAGGTAAGAAACATTCCTATTGTAAGGGGTGTTTTGTTGGCTTGTTCCAACACCTCTCTGTTTCCAGCTAAAAGCTTTTGGAGGGGTGAACGTGTAATTCCAGTGTGAGCAACTTGTCTGTTCATTCCTTTGCATTTTGGTTTCATCTCAGAACATGGTAAAATATTTTTGGGTGGTGAAATCTGGTTTAACACTTCATAAACAGTCAGTACTTTTCAGAACTGTGCAGAGCTTGTGGTGAATGCTGCCTTTGTGACCTGCAGGAGGAGATGCACGAGTGTGCAGCAGCAGTCCTGGATGGCATAGAAGCTGGCTGGCTGAAACCTCTGGTAGGCTCTGAGTATTCTCTGGAGAGAGTAGCCCAGGCTCACCAGGACATCATGCACAGCAGAGGAGCCCAGGGGAAGATGGTGCTCCTTCCATAAAGCCCTTCCCACGGGTCGTGCAGCTCTTCTGACTGCGCCTTTGCCTGCAGGATTTGTTGAATTAGGTTATAGAACAAACTTGTGCTCAGGTCTGACAGTAGCAGCAAATGCTCTCACCTCAGTTAATTACATTTGGTACTTAACAATCTCCTTTTGGTAATAAACAACCTTGCATAGACCAGCAAATAGTTTTTGTAGCTTCTTTGGCTGATTTGGAAATAATAAAATTTCTTGGCTGGTGTGGCCTTGTGATGCAGGGAAAACTAATATCTGAGGTAGGATCTGATACCCTGCTGAGTGGGAGCTGCAGTGAGGGGGTGCAGAGTGCAGCCTGCCTGGGGGCAGACCAGGGTGAATGCAGCTGACCCTGCAGGGAACTGGGGCTCTGGAGGGTCCTTGGCCACAGCATTTGTCCTGCTCATTTTTTGTCACGTAATTGACTTGGTATAAAAGCTTTCACTGCCAAAATAGTTCACTTTCCAGATGACAAGATGGCCAAAGAATCTCTCGAGTGTGAGCTGCTTGGAAGAAGAAGCAATTTCTTTTTGCTCTGCCTGACCCAGTGTCTGAGGTGAAAGCGTCCCAGGTTTTGTTGTGTGTTTGTAAAGAATGGATTCTTTTTACTTTGGCCTTTGGCCAGAGAGTACTGTGTGGAGAGGAGGCTCGTGCTGCCCAGGGCCTCCTGCCTGCTCCGTGCTGCTGCCTTGGAGCTGCTGCCTGGAGATGCCCTGGGGGACACGGGCAGGGTTTGCCACGGGCTTTCACCAGAAGGTGTCAGAGCAGTTCTTCTCATTTTATTGCAGTGCTGCTTCTCTCCACACAGAGTAAGGCAGCAGAACTCGGGCTGCTCTGTGAAGGGATGCAATATAACATGTAATTCCTCAGTTCGTTTTTGATGTATTGTGTAGATGGAAAGGGTTGTTTTCATTCTGGAAAAGCAGTGTGAGTAAAAATACGGTTGTATCAGGGAACACGGGGTGCAGGGAGGAGGGAGGCAGCCGCAGTGGGCACTTCCAGGCTGTGGGCAGGAGATGGGGACTGGAGGGTTCGTGTGCCCTGCTTTGTGTTGCTGGTGGTGTCTGTGTTGCTGGTGTGTGCAGCTGTAGCAGTGTGAGGTCTTGTCGCTGCTGTCACGCTGAAGGGGGGGTTGCTCACAGCTCGGCTACAACAGCCCAAGCCTTGCACACCGGTGTGGGCTGCAGGGGCAGGCTGGGGGTGTTGGTGTCCAGGCTGTGCTCCGGTACAGACGCTGATATCCAGCAGGGGAGAATCATCTTGGCGAGCTAACTTGTCCAGCTGCTGCAGCTGGGTTTCTTAGAGCCTTTCTTTGTCACGTTTCTGGCTAACCTTTCAGGTGATGTGTGCAGTGTGGTCTGTGCCAGCCACCCGGCCAGGGAGCCCGGAGAGAGCCTGGCTCGGCTCCCCTGCAGGACGTGCCATCCCCTTGGCAGAGGGGTGGGTGGAGGAAGAGGGTCACAGACAACTCCCTGAGGCAGAACAGTCAGCTTGTTGATTTTTGAGCCCTGATTGCAGCAGGAGGGTGTCTGAAGCCGTGTTTCCCAGCCCTGGTGCTGCCGTGGGCGAGGCTGGGCAGGCTCACCCTGTGCTGGGCTGGGCACCCAGCACCTGCCACGCTCCCGAGCTGCTGCTGGCCGTGCTGCTGGAGCAGAAAGGGCTGGAGTTGCTCTGAAAAGCAGCCACTCTCGTTGTGCCCAAAGTAAATGCTGTCTAGGCTCCCTAGTCATGAAAGGTATCCCCTCTCCCTTGCAACCGTGTGGTCCCTGTGTGTTCCTGGCTGTGTGTGCTGCAGCAGGATGCAATAAATGGACCAGGCTTTCACTGCAGGGTTAGGAAGAGGAAAAATGAAGAGGATGTTGATGTTCTTGATAGTTGCTTCCTTTATGAAAGACAGTTCAGTAGGACGTGCAGGTAGATGGTGCCACTGAAGGCTTGAGGAGAGTGGGAGCCCCTTAACGTTTGGGTCAGAGAGGGAAGGTGTTCCCTGCTCCTGGTCACCTGCAGCATCTACACTCACCGGGGCTGCACCCGGGGCCCTGGGGGTTGTGCTTCAGCTTGAGCTCACAAGAAATGAAGGCCGAAGGGAAAAACAAGAGCACGGAAAAGTGATTGTGTGTCCTTTGTTTGAGTAACTCCAGAGATGAAGGGCCTGCCTGGAGCCCTCCTGTCGGTGGTGCTGCGGGAGCCGAGAGCGGGACGGCTGAGCCTCCCACACCCCGGGCCGTTCATAGGGCTGTGCGGTGCCAAGGTGCCTTTTCCATCTTCCCTTCTCCCTGGAGCCGGGGGGGCTTCACTGCGGGGCTCAGGGGAGCTGCGTGTCTGCCCCGCTCTGCGGGGGGCTGGGGCGGGACCCCCGGGGCTGGGGCGGGACCCC